CCCCCCCCCCGCATGAATTTCATGCACTGGGCCTCTAGTTATAGTAAAACAGAGAACACTAGGTATCAGGTTTCTCAACTCCTCATTTGTTCCCCAGCCTTGAAAACCCCTGCTGTGAAATCAGTGAGTAGATTTCACACCTTATATTCATTGAACAGCAAGCTCCAGATTTCTGGGGTTTATATAGGATGTCAGGCTCAGGGAGAAGGAATATTGACAAATGTCCCAGTAACAATTATAGTGTGCATCAGAAGGATAGTGGGAACACTGGAAGAGTAGGAAGTAACCTAAAATCTGAGATATGTGCAATAGCCTTAAAATACTTCCACAGCGATTGAGTCCTGGCTCCCCACTGTCTTTCTGTGAAATGGAGAATCAATATCCTTCTTATATTTATCACAAAAGGAGAACCATGCAGAGAGGCAAATGACTTGCCCAGAGTCATCCGGCAAGTCCGCAGGCCTGATCCCCACTCCTCCCTTCCCAGTACTGCCTTTGGCGGTTTTCATCCCAAGTTTGCCTGGATTCAGGAGCTCTGCCCATGGTTACCACTCATTAGTAAGTATTCACTAGTTAGTTCATCCTAATTTCTAGGAAGTAATGGAACAGTATTTTTTTTACACATTTCTGAATGGAGAGACCTGGTGAAATGAAGCTTCTGGTGTGTGCTGTGTATGGCTCTACCTTTTGTTCTTTATGACGCAGGAGTGAAGAGAAGGAAGCAGTGGGCATGTTGGTCAACTGCCCTGCCTACTACAGCGTGTCGGCTCCCAAGGCTGAGCTTCTGAACAAAATCAAACATATGCCAGAGGAGATGAGTGAGGAAGAGGAGCAGGTGGATGTCAATGAAAAGAAGGTAAATAATTGGGACCTGTGTTTTGTTTTCCCCAGAAAGCTAGTCAGGGTCCCGGCAGGGTTACTCAGTAACGCCCCTTAGGGCAAGAGGGAAAGGGGCCTGTCACATCACCAGTCGCGCCCAAACCATCATTGGCCTCCGGACTTGCATGGCACTTTGAGCAATTTCCTCACAGCCCCCCTGTCATTTTCACTTTTATAAATGACAAAAGTGAAGGTTAGTGGCTATTAGTTATTTCCTAAAGGTCTCATAGCTGGGACTAGACCCCAGGTCCCCTGCCTCCTAGTCCAGCACAGAGACCACAACACTGTTCTCGAGGCCTGCAGAATTTTCACTCATGATTCATGCGCAAAAGGAAAACTAGAAAATCTAGAAATTTTAAGGAGAGACTGGATCATCAAAAGACACTTTGGAAAAGGGAATGTTAATCTTTAAATTCCCCAGCTCTCTTTGCCATACCCCAGTGAAGAATAACTTGAAAGCACAGCATTGGAATTTAGCATTTGATACTCTTACAGATATGTTCATTGCTAAGCGTTTTTAAAATGACCGTGCTGCTGCTGTCTTTCCCCAAGCCACGGAGATCTAAGCTCGCCTGTGCCTACAGGGGAGAAGTTTCTGCCGCTCCACTTTCCCTGCAGCCCAGAGGGCTGCCTGGCCCTGTGCTTACAGCCCTCGGCTCAGGCCTGTGTGCTGAAAGGACTCTTTGTTAAGGCTTGCCTCTTGCTGAGTCTGGAATGTAAATGGTTCAGTGGTACCAATTCTAGGAGAAACTCTCTCGTGTGATTCCATTCACTTATTTTAGAATATGTGTCCTAAGCCCTCGTGTTTATGTATTGGGAATGAGACCACAGGATGCAGACCCTGGGAGCAGGAAGTTATGGGGCAGGAAGTCTTAGGGGTTTAGAAGCACCTCCTTCAGTGTATTCTCCCTCCTGCTCCAGCTCAGGGGGCTCACAGCGCCAGGGCTGACTTGCTGATGCAGCCACTGTGGTAACACACTCTCTCCCAGCCCAAGGTTTTCCCTTTTAAACATCTGCTTCATAGCACACCTCATATCCCTATCTCCGTGCTGCTGAGCGCCCGATTGAATGGGTCCTCTGAGCGTGGGAACACACCTTGCTCTGTTCTATGTTTATCCCAGAGGGAGCTACATAAACCCTATGACAGGTATCAAGCTGCCATGACATCTTTAAATAATGGAACATTTTACTTTTCTTATTTTTTTCATGTAGATATACCCTGCTTTACAACAGCAGTGTGGCATATTATTCATTGCTTTGCCCTCCACATCTCAATTTTATTTTTAACCTCTTTGTCATCACTTTATTATCACCCTCTCATTCTGAGGATTATGTGGCACAAAGTATTTTTGGACTGAGTATATGAAGGAAGAGAGGATTAATCCTCATGGGAAATAACATTAGATGCCATTTATTGAGTACTTCCTATATTCTAGGTGTGAGCTTTTTTTCTCTTTTCTTTTTACATACCGCTGTATTTATTTTCACAAAACTGGATTGTCACATTTTATACTGAAGTAATCGGAATGAATCAGACAAGAGGAGATGGGGGCATTCAAGACAAAGGAGATGGAGTGGGAAAAGACCTAGAGGTGTGGAAAAACGTAAGGAGTGTGTGTCTTGAAGAAAGGAACTTCTGGTAGCTTGGTATTTTAGAATATAAAACAAAGTGACTAGCCCACCTGGTGAGGCTCAGTGGATGAGCATCATTCTATGAACCAGTGGGGTCATGGTTCAATTCTCAGGGCACATGCACAGGTTTTGGGCTGAATCATCAGGGGGCATGCAGGAAGCAGCTGATCAATGATTCTCATCATCGATGTTTCTATCTCTCCCTCTCTTTTACTCTCTGAAATCAATAAAAACATATTTAAAAAAACAACAACAAAGTGACTAAATTAGAAATGACCAAATTTAGAAAATAAAGGAGGGCCACATACAGCAGGAGATGAGGCTGGGAGGATCCACTGGAGCCACCTCATGATCACCAGGGCTTTGGTGTGAAATGCTGAAGGGTTCGATTTCTGCCTTCAGCAATGGAGAAACCTTTGAGAGTTTTTTGTTTGTTTTGATGAACTACAAGTTTATGAATGTGTAATAGAATTTTTGTGAGTGGTCCTTACATTTGCATATCTGACTTGTAAAGAGAAAATACGTGAATGTGACATGAAGTTGAAGGCGTCTATTAAAACGTTCAGCATAAAGTTGAAAGTGCAGTTCTCCTGATGTACAAGCTTTCTAACAATGATTTTCAAAAACGACACATGGTCAGTATTCACTCCCCAAGACTGTCCTGAGGCAGAGGGTAGCCTTTCACCAACTTTTGCAAAGTAGAAATTTGTTGCCCAATATTCCAAAGTTATTAATACCCTAAGGTGCATATCGAGGCATGAAACTCACCAAAAGTCAGTGGAAACTAGAGTCCTGATTTATTAATGTTTGTTAAATTGAAATTGGCATTTTAAATTAATTCCATTTTAATATATTTTCTATTTATATATCCAGCCTAGATGATGAATTATAATATTCCAAGTAAATATAAGCGTTACTTAAAATATGAAACACTTTCATTGTCTGAACTTCTGACATACATAAGAACTAAAGACAGTTTGATACCAACTCCGTAGCTAAGCCCCGCCATATCTATTGGCAAAAATGTGCTTGAGCAGAGCCCATGATTCTCGATTCTGAGGGCAAAAGGCTTTGGCTTAGAGACTTAGTGGAAAATTTTAAAAGGCAAAAAGAATCTGTTGTTCCCTGGAATTGGCTTTCCCCAAGAGATCATTAGTGACCCAGATGGTTCTCAGCTGCCCTTTGCGTTCCTCCTCCTTCAGTCTTGAAGTCCCAAGCTTCCCTCTGCTCTGTCTTCCTTTCAGCCTGAAAAACGTCCCCTAGCATTTCTTTAGAATAGGTCTGCTGGTGACACATTCTTTCAGTTTTTCTTCATCTAAGAATTTCGCTGTCGCTCCTGAAGGGTATTTTCACAGGGATTCTGGGCTGCCTGTTCCTTTTCTTTAGCATCTTAGAATTGTTACTGCACTTTCTTGTTTCCACGGTCTCTGGTGAGAAATGCAGTCATGTAAATACTCGTTCCTCTCATATGCAATGTGTTGTTTTTCTCTGGCTACTTTAAAAGTTTGATTATGATGTGGGTGGGCCTGATTTTTTTTGGTTTATCCTGTTTGGGTTTGCTGAGCTTCTGGATTACATACATGTACGTCTTTCACCAAATGTAGGACGTTTGCAGCTGTTATGTCTTCAAATATGTTTTGTGCGCTGATCTTCCTCTTCTCTTTTTGGGACTCCGGTGACATGACACAAATGTTAGACCTTCTAATATTGTCCCACAAGTCCCTGAAGCTCTGGGTTTGTTGTTGTTGTTGTTCAATCTGTTTTTTTGTCACTTCTTCTGGTTGGATAATTTCTATTAGTCTATCTTCAAATTCACTGACTTGCCTGTCTCCATTCTATGAGTGATTTCTTTTTTTAATTTCAAATATAGTTTTCAATACTAAAATTTCTATTCAGTTAGCAAAGAAATAGACACGACAAGAAACTGAGAACTTCTACCTTTTCATTTCATGGGTGCTTGCTTTTATCATGGAGCATCGTTATAAAAAGTATTTTAAAGGCTTTGGTAATAATCCCAACATTGGGGTTATTCTTGGTGTTAGTGCCTGTTGATGATCTCCCCCTGAATTGCTCACATTTCATTGGTTCTTTTTATCTTGGGTGATTTTGTATTGCATTCTGAACATTTTGAGTATTATGCTGTGAGACTCTGGGTTCTGTTAAAATCTCCTGGAAAATGTTGACTACAAGTTGTAGCCCACCTCTGGGTGGTGGTTCAGAGACTTGGCTGTGTCCCACACTTGAACCATTGAGGGCTTAGCCTGGGACTTGGGCAGTTATTTCTATCGCGTTCCATTCTCAGAGTCTTTGCAGTGCCTCTGTGGGTCTGTCCCACACACGTGCAGCTTGAGGGTGAGCCTAGGACTTAGGTCAGTTCTGCACAGAATAGGGGATCTTTTCCAGCTCTCTACCATTCAGTGTCCCCACCCCCCCACCCCACTCTCTGGCTCCCAGCAGCCCATTTTCCTGGGCATCTGGCCAGAAAGACACATTCTCATGGTTATATAGAAAGATAAGTTCTAGCAACAAGTATAGCAACCTGAGCGCTGTACCATTCTGCACTGCTGGGACCGCTCTCAACAAAAGAGGAAGAAAAGGTAGTGAGGATTCCCCTTGTGCTCTTTGGACCACGGGTCCTTTTCCCAGTTGCTCTGACAGAGAGAAGGGTTTTCTCTTGGAGTTTAAATGCAGGAGCCTCCCCTGCACAGTGCATGCAGCTCTGTTTACGTGGAGTCACCTGTGGTGGGGGCAGGGCGAGGAAAAAAAGAGAGAAGGGATTTCGAAACAGGAAATCCCCCCACTCTTGCGCTCACAACAGCCCCTGTTTCTCGTCCTCTGGTTTTAAAGGCAGGGCTTTTCCTGGAGTTTTTGCCACCACACTGTCTGTGTAGTTCTGCCTGGGGGCTATTCTCTGGTCAGAGCTCACACATAAACTCATCCCCCATTATGGATATACTTCAAGGCTGGCTGCCTTCTGGGTCACTGCCATAGTTCACTTCACTGAGCCCTCTTCCGAGCCTAGGACGTTGGCTGCAGTAAGCAGGGAGAGAGGCTTCAGGGGGTTATGCCATCTTGGCCAGCATCTTGAGTCACCGCCCTGCCCCCCACCCCCTAGGTTTATCAGCAGAGAGATCTGCATTGCAGCAGCTGTGTGAGGACACGGGGACAGACAGACACACACACACACACACACACACACACACACACACACACTGTTTATCAGCAGGGAGATCTGCATTGCAGCAGCTGTGTGAGGACACGGGGACAGACAGACACACACACACACACACACACACACACACACTGTTTATCAGCAGGGAGATATGCATTGCAGCAGCTGTGTGA